CCAGGAGCCTCTACGGCTATGGTAGGTCTTTTGGTTCTGGCTCTTGCAGCCCTCACTCCTACCGCTACAGCAGGTATAGCCGTGGCAGCTGCGGCCCCTGCTAAACCCGACAGAAATATCCTGAGCAAGGTATAAGTGACACAGCTAAAGAGGCCTGAACCTCCATTGCTCTGTTCCAAAACCACAGAGCAGTACCCCTTCAGGCCCTTGGGAACCTCTCCTCTTAACCCCCACTTTTAATTTCTGCCTTTATACCTCTCCCGTCACATATCCATATTGCCTGGAGTAAACGTGTAACGAAGTTGCTCAAAGCTGCTCCTCTTTGTTCAATGTAACAGCTAAGGCTCAGGAAGGATAAAAAACCAGAACAATCATATGCGACTTTATCCCTGACTAGAGAAGTTTTGCACTTCCTGAATACTTTGAAAATCTGTTCTCTTTCTCATTATCATTAAAAAATTATTGCATCAAAGTTACCTTGTTCTGGTGTTCTTTTCTCATGTTTTTACCTTTGTTATATGTCTTAGGAGATGTCTAAGCTGTGCAGTTCTCAGTAGCAGTTTAAACTATGTAGATGAATGTCCTGCCCAGAAAATTAAAGATTTAAAATGCACAAAACCAATGTGAAGCCCTCAGCATAGAAGGAGCTACTGTCCTGCTCTCTCCTGTTTTTCAGATAAAGATTCTTGACATCTTTGAAAAATTTGGTTTGTTGGTTGTACAGCTACTGGTCACAGATTAATATTGGCAGAGAAATGAGACAGCGGATTACTAATTTTAAACTCTTCCCTAAAACCATTATGTTTTAGTAAGAATTTCTTCCAGGTAGGTCTTTGATTGATCTCTTTGAATTTCAGGTTCTCACTCAAATACTTAAACTCTCTTCCTAGTAATAACATGTGCAGAAAATTGAATTAATTTTCTGCCAAATCCTTAAAATGAGAAAATTTTCTAGGCCATACAATGAAACTTTTTAATCTGAAGCATGAGTAATGGCCTTTCCATATAATCATGAAATTTAAGGTGCTTTGCTTTTTTTACAGAAAAGCAAGCCCTCCATACAGCTGCCCCAAGGGCTAATTCATCTGTGCCAGTAAGAACAGCTGGAACAGAAAGAAAAGAATTATGGTGCCTGGAAAGGTGAAAAGGCAGGAAAAGTCATTATCCTCTGCACATATCCTCAGTTCTCTTGCTGGGCTTCGCAACTCCCTCTGCATGGGCAGTTCTCACCACAGAACCCTCTCTTTTCTGTGATTTTCAGCAGCTCAATGATAGTCCTTACCTAAGAGGTCCATTAGCTAGTCTACCCACCTCTGGAGAGCTCTTTTCCTTCTTGCAGCTCCTTCAGATCCTCCCAGCATCTCCACGCCAACAACTTTCACCACTTTCTCCCCACCTCCCTAAATCCCTTCTGACTCAGGAACAGCCCTCCCACCTGAGAGCCTCATCTACCGCCCTTTTCCCTGTAATCTGCTTTGAACCCAGCCTCAGCTGAGCTACCGGCACTGCTCCTGCTGTGATCAGCAAAGATGTTCAAGTGGCTCATTAAGGAACGGAGGTTTAGCGTGGTTTCTTTCTGAACATCATGTTATTATTGTAAGCCAGGCCAGCTGGGGAGGGAGGATTCCTGCTCAGAGTGGAACAAAGAGTGACTGACTTCACTGATAGCTGAGCCATTTCAGCTGTGTTTTTGAAGTTTGAGCCACCTCATCCTAAGGACGGATGTGAGTTTTCCCCATTGGCAGAGACTAGAGTTGTACAGCCACGGCAGAAGAAAAGAAAACCAAAAGTCAATTGACTTGATGCAGAGCAGAATCACTTTAATGAGAAATAAACATTCACAGAAAAGCATTGCAGAATACCAAGAATATGCATCAAATTAAAGGCAATTCCTTCCACAATTGTTCTTTTTGGGCTAGACAGTGAAGTGCCATTTTATGAGAATATCAGTTGCTTGGTTTATCCCGCCCATTAAACGCATAGATGGAAAAACCCCATGAGTAGAGAAGAAATGAAAGATGTGCTGTGTGCTCCTGGCTCAATCACAGCGGGGTGACAGCGATCAGGACTTCACGACATCTCCTTTAGGACAGCTGCTGTGGATCAAGATTGCATCTCTCCGTCGCCGGTTATTGCTTACTCGGGGGATATTTCTGTAGGATTTAGCAGGGCCAGCAGCTGCCACGGCCATACC